CCCCGCTCGAGCGAAATGGGGAATGGTCAGCCCTTGAGTCCACTGGGGATGTATTGGGCGAGTCGGGCGGCAGCAACGGGGGAGCACTTAGAGGGATTGGAAAAATTATCTGGAGCCGCACAACTAAAACGGAGCTTTGGCGAAAGTCAAGTAAAGAGAAGTTGCGATCGTGTTGGAAAACGCGACAACCTGGAGATGTGTGGGAATTCGTCCAAGAAACGGAGGAGGTGAAGTGGGTCTACAAGGATAATTGCGATGCGGTTGGACCGACATACGTCTCGAGTGCTAGGGCAAGGGTATTTGTAGAAGCAACAAACAAACTTCGACGAATTCCACACCCCGGTAAGCAAGCAAAGGGCGCTAGTTGCGGGGGTTGCAGAGCGCGACTTGGTGTTGCGCCAATTGGACGTCAGGATGGCGTTCCTCAACGGTGAGCTTATGGAGGTTTGATCTACATGAAGCAAGGGGTACGAGCAAAGCGGGCCCAACGTGGTTTGCCACACTCCAAGCGCACCCTGCACGGGTTGCGCCAAGCGGCGTCCAAGCCATAGCTCGGGAACTTCACTATAGCGGTGTCCTTTGCGGATGTGGCGTTTTTTGTGAGAGTGGTGAACGGAAAGCGGGTTTCACTTGGACGATGTTCTTGTCGCGGCTAGGAAGCGGAGCAGAAGGCGAAGGTGAAGGCGCTATTTGCGGACAATTTCGACGTGCGCAAGTTAGGGGAGGCGACGTACTTCCTTGGGATGAAGTTGGCGCACGAGAGGGAGGCCTTATTTTGAAGCTCACGCAATAGAAGCTTACTAGAGGGCTTTTTGGGCGGCACATATTGGCGGGCGCAGGGGCGCGCTCGGTTTTCTTTGATGTGGAGGAGAATATGAGGAGGAAGGGCAAGCCGCCTGTACAGCGAAGTTTCCTAAAGCGAGCCCATGGGAGCTTGCTATATTGAAATGAGTGTGTGCACGCAACTTGACATTGCTTAGGCCGTGGAGGCATTGGCGCATGGCGCGCTACACAAATGCGCCAACGGAGGCACATTGGGGGCCAGCGCTCGACCTCTTGCGGTATTTGGTGGGGACCGTGAAGGACGGAATAATAATTAGGAGAGGCGATGAGGTCCTTGAGGCGTTTTGTGACGCGGACTTTGCGAAAACATTGTCATAAAGCGTTTCACGACCGAGTACGTCTTTCTACTGTACGGGGGTGCGCTTTAGTTTGTCGAGCCGTCTTCAGCCAACGGTGGCGGCGTTGATTGTTGAGGCGGAGCAATCGAGTACAGAGCATGTAGTGAAGGAGGCGTTGTGGTCTTGCAAGTTGGCAGATCGGGGTCAAGTCTACTGCGGCAACTAAGATGCAATACGGATCCTGAAGCATCCTTTTCACAGGGGTCGAAGCACGTTGACGTGATTCATCTTTTTGCGCATAAGAGTGTGGCGTGAAAGGAGGCCGGATTTGCGTGCTGCCTGACGAAGGACAACATTAAGGCGGACATTCTGACTAAGGCGCTTGTGTTGAGGAATCTTGAAGTGCAAAAGCGAGATAGCAAAAGCTAAGATACTTAGTGCGTGGGGGAGTGTTGGAATTCGGGCGTTTTTCGAGTGAGTACCACCCTAAAATCCTAGAGAAATCGGAGCCGTCGATCGAGGCTTGGGTGGGGCCGAACATCGACCGTTATTTGGCGCGTTATACACGCAAATTGCGTCCGATTGTGAGTCGGGTCACGGTTATTGAGGAGCCCCGACCACCAATGTGTAGAAGCCCCGACCTCGTAGTACGGTACTACCGACCACTTCGGTGTAGTAATACCGACCACAAGTCAAGTGGTATTTGGCCCATATAGCGAGTGGTATAGTGACCCGAGTGAGTCGTAAAGTGACCCAATCAGTTGGATTGGACTTCCACAGAGTCGAAGTAAAGCTAGAGTCCGTAACTACGGATTTAGAATGCCTTTAACATTTTCTTTGTGACGACTCTCACGCCTAGTGGTTCTGAACCTAGAAGGCGCTTGCTTCAACACCGCGTACATTGACACACGCGTTTGAAGGAGGAGCTCGAGAGATTTGACTTCGTTGCGTCCTAGGCAAATGAGACGCTATTCCTAAGGATGGTGAACCGGGAGTGGGTTTAGGCCGTACCACTAAGCCATCCATGCGCAAGGATGGCTTAGTGGTACGGCCCGCGATATGTAAATGAAAAGTGGAGCCGCGGATCTCATTGTATGCCTTGGACACTTCCTTAGCGGTCGCTTTGGGATTGCCCGTCCACATGCACGCGATTAGTCAATACTCATTGACCATCCGAAACTGAGTGTCAGGTTCGACCCTTTCCTCAATGGTCGGTAACCCAATGATAAGGTCATCCCAACGCGTCAGCCTTGGCAGCAAGTTTTATTCGAGAAAGCGCGGCCCGTAGCACTGGGCCATTCCTTACATATGGATGGCCTGGTGGTATGAGCCACAATATCTCCACATATGTTACTTCTGTATAGCTCACAGTGACGTTTTTTTCTCAATCGCCTAACCTCTCAACTTGATTGCAGCTATCCGCCGTGCACGCACGTTCTTGCTCACTAGTTCGAACCGTGAGCATAATCGTCGAGGTTTAATAGCAATGTAAGCTAGTCGTAGAAGAGCGTGACTAGTTGAAAATCTGTATATGCTTTTTCCCTCCACAATTCCTCCATTTTGCAAGGGCTTTTACACGAGCTCCTTATATTGATATGGATACCACGCTTGTAGACGAACGTGGAGGCTTAAATTTTTCCGGCTTCCCTCGTCCGTGGAAAACTCTGCCTACCAAACGCCGTTCCCCAGCCTTATTATCTTCCTTTTTGAAGAATGAGGAAGTTGAGGACGGTGGAGGAGTTTTCGAAATGGCAGATTTGATTTGATCAAACACATAGACCGCAGTTTGTTATCTCTTTTTCTCCGGCCCCCCATCTGTGAGAGCAACCCTTGGAGCCCTAAAAAGGCCTCGTTTTTGTAATTCTACTATTGAGAAAGATGAAAGCAACGAGGGGCATGCAAGAGGGGTCTCAACATGAATGAGGACCTCGAGTAATCCTCTTATTTTCTGGCTTCTCGTCTAGGAAAACCTCCAAAAAATGCCCTTTCTCATCCCCTTGATTATTCCGAATGAGGAGACGATAGCAGTGAAGGATGTTTGAGGGGGTCTCCCCCACGGAATTAAGGAGCCGAGTCACTCTCTCGGCCCGTGGCTCCTCGTTTGGAAACTTTATGAGCTCATAAAAATGCCGTTCCTTATCATTATATTTCTCACTTGACAATGTGGAAATACAACCATAGAGGAACTTATTGCGACAAATTTCGCGGATCCTATGACCGGATGAGGCACGCTAGCACCATCCCAAAAAATTTGTCCTAATGCGCCCATTGAAGAAAAGGAAAAGGACGAGAGCATATTTGAAAGGGACTTCTCGACTCATTTTAATTTAAAGATTCATGTCTCAAAGTTTCTCATTCCACTTCACAAAGAAAGTGATCGAATATAACGAGAGGTTTATAAATTCATAATGTTAGAATTCGGTGATTATAGTCAGCCGATTTACTGTGTGTTAAAGTCCGGCCCGACTTAGGGTTTGGAACTAGTGAGCGCCGGCGTGCGTGCACGGCGCACAAGCAACCTAGGCTGGGTATTGAGGGATCAACGCGCGATAGTCCGGTCACAAGTTTGCATCACCGATGTCACGTCGCGACACTTTTGTATTCACCGCTACGCGAGAATCGGATCCCCGAGTTCAATGAATTGGCAAATTCTGACATGTTGACCGACGGGCGGCTCCGTACTACACGGCGGTGCAGTACCGCTGCAGTCTGCGCGACGGTGAAATTTGAAGTTCACGGTTTCGCCGAAAGTCCGACTTGGATCCCGTAGGTGTACCGGCGGTACCTAGCCTAAAGGAATAGTGAACGAACTTGAAAGAAGAGTGCAAGACGAAGCTCGTTTTAAGCTGCAACAATGGCGGCCCACTTTGTGCCTTATATGCAGCTTGTTCCGATTACTAGACGGTTAAACCGTTTGGCGGTTTCGAAGGTCAGGCGGTTGAGAGCGACCGTCAGTGTACGCCGTAGATAAGGATATCGAAGGCCGAGATCGAGTGTGACTGTGACCTAGGCTAGTGAGCCTCGTAGTTTGTGACTTAGGCTAGTGAGCTTAGTGGATCGAGAGAGACTCGTAAGACTTAATAGTGGTGGAAACCACTGTTGTGATACATCATTCCAATAGAAGTTTGTGGAAAGAAGGAAGCCGCTTGTGAGGCGCTTCGTCTGATCCTCCCTGGATGAATGGTTGCCATCAATGAGTGATGCGCATGAGTGCCGCGCGACACAATAAGACCCCATGACGAGTAACTCAACTACACTGCGAGTACCTCGCCATGATTTTCAAAAGGTGACGGGCCCACAAAGCTTGGTTGTGAAAGGGCGCAAGGTTTCAAATTCTGGTCGACTGAAGGGCGATGTTTGAATATGCGCCCGGTGAGCCTGTAAGGGAAAAGGAACGAAGGATTTGGCTTCTTTCTATTCAAGAGCGAGTGTAGTTGAGATGGCCGGAGACAAAGTGTCGATCCCGCATATGTGTGGTGACAACTGGTCAACGTGGAAGGCCAAGTTCCGTGGGCTTCTTGCATAAAAGGCAATCGTTGTGTGCATTGGAGGAGCCGGAGGATCCGTGGAAGGAAGGAATGTGTCAGGCCAAGCAAGGAGGCTGATACTGATCCACACGAAAGATGCATATGTGAAGTCGATTGAGGGTGAACTCATTGCGGGCAAAGCGTGGAAGAGGTTGAGGACAACTTTGAGAAGCAGGGCAATGCGCGCATGATTCAGTTCAGGAGGAAGCTAACGGGTCTAAGGTTGATCAAGCGGAAAGCTATTGCAGAGTATTCAGGGGACTTCCGGGAGCTCAAAATAGATTTTGAGGCGGCGGAACAAACCGTCTCAAAGGGTGGGCCGTGCACGCCTTAGAGGATTTGCCGGAGGAGTATGCCTTATTGTGGAGTTTTTGTCGAGCTTCGAGAAGAGGAGCTAAGCCTAGATGAGATCCAGCCAAAGCTAATCCAGAAAGAGCGGAAGCTAAAGTTGAGGGCTGAAGGGGGGTCTTTGAAGGGAACTTTGGGTGGGGGTGAGGCGGTGGCGTATGCACCGGCATAGGGGCTACTCGAGTTCGGAGAAGGGCAAGAGAAGCTCAAACGAGCTGGGAAGTAGCTCGGAGGTGAGAGGCGGAAGCTCAAGCCCGCCAACATGCTATTGTTGTGGCAAAGTGGGCCACATGAAGGCACTGGTGCAGGTTGCACGATGCGGAGTGCCGCAAGTGCGGCAAGAGGGGCCACACAGAGGCAGTGTGTAGGCAGAGCGCGCCTAAAAGTTGCCGCCCAGAGGAGAGAGAGTTTGCGGGGGATGCAAACGGAGTAGCTTTTACGGCGTGGGGCGACGACGAGGACGTACGCAAAGGGGTGTGGATTGTCGACTCGGGCAGCCCCCAGCATGTCATGGCCTATCGGAGCCAATTCGCGAGCTACAGAGAGCTTGTGCGTGACGAGAAGATCGTGGGGATCTGTGGTAAGTCTTCAATTGCAGTGGGCATTGAAGAAATGACATTGAAGTGTAAGACCCCGAGCGGTGTGAGTACGGTATCCTTGAAGGAGATCCGACAGGCTTCGAGGGCACATGCGAGTTTGTTCGCTCGAACGAGTGCAACCAACGCGGGTGGTGCACGAGTGGTGCTCGAGGGGAGAAACGCGCAAATCAAAACGGAGGGCCTGGTCGGTATGGAGGCAATCAAGCGTGGAGGACTGTGGGCCCATTGAGACCGTGGGGAAGCAAAGGGCAGTCCTTGCGAGGGGACCGGTCAAGAAAGGCCGGGTCTGCGCCACGGCAAAGAGGCTGGTAAGAGCAAAAAGCGTGGTGAAAAGACGGTAAAGGTTGTGGAGATCGACCTGGACGAGTTGGACGACAAGAATGGGGGCGTCGAACGAGAGAGGGTTACTTTTGTGGGGGCGGACGAGGAGCCGTGCACAGTTTCACAAAAGAGCCAAAGTGGGCCGATTGTGGAAACGATGCGCAAAGTTGTGGAGGAGTCCAAGGAGACCGGAAAGGGCAAGGGAGCCCAGAGACGGTGGTAGAGAGCAAGCCCGCTAGTGTAGAACAGGCAACGGAGAAGCCCGTAGTGGGGTCCTAGTGCTTAGAAAGATATCCCGCGAGGGTGCGACGGGATGGCACCGAGTGGTATCGGGCAAATGTTGGAGCAACAATGGAAGTCGTCGGAGCCAAAAAGCCGACCGGAGCACGGAGTGGGAAAGACGTCGTTGGAGAAGAGCGACGCAGTGCGCTACTAGAGTAGCGAGGCTGGCGAGAGTGGAGGCGTGTGGGTGACGCCAAAGCCGGATGAGGCAGCCCGCAAAAGGAGCATGACGAGTTGGAAAATTAGAATAATTCGTCTCCGTGGGAGTGCTAGAATTCGCTGGTTATAGTCAGCCGAATTATTGTGTGTTAGAGTTCGGCCCGAAGTAGGGTTTGGACTAGTGAGCGCCGGCGGTGCGTGCAAGGCGGTTAGACGGTCCAACCGTTCGGCGATTTCGAGATAGAAGGTTGAGAGCGACCGTAACTGTAAGCCGTGAATAAGGATATCGAAGGCTAAGATTGAGTGTGACTTCGAGTTAGGCTAGTGCGCCTAGAACGGGAGAGATCCGTAATCAAAACTCATCAGCGCTGGAGACCAGTATTGTGATACATCACTTCGAGAAAAGTTTATTGAGAGAAGGAAGCCGCTTGTGAGGCGCTTCGTCTGATCCTCTTAGGATGCATGGTTGCCAGCAATCAGTGATGAGCATGGGTGCCGGGTAACACGATGAGGCCTGATGACGAATAACTCAACCACGCTACAAGTCCCCCACCATGAATTTCAACATATACTAAAATGAAGAAATGAGGGTTTCATTGAGTCCCCTAAAAGCTTAAAGACATTCAGGTAGGGAGCTCATTTCCGAAGTGGTGAGGGTAAAATGAAAGATGGAAAATGAAGAGCAATTCCGTAATCCTTCGCTAACCATCATTCATTCATAGCTATCACCATCGGATTTCTCAATGTGCTTGTGGATACAATGTTCCGCTCGAACCTCGATAACGCTCACTGCACACTTGAGGATCACGCTTGCCCGAAGTGATTGGCGGCGCTGATGTGTGCTTCAAATCGAGTTCCGAACATTCTAGTGTTTTAGCTTTTTAAACAAAATCGACATACTGAATGATGAGCCATGACTCCAGTCTAAACGAACATGGCAACGTGTTGTCTCACTTAAGCTCGTCTGAATTTTCAAAGGCTTGCAGTACGTGTCTTTGACGGCTCACCTGCGCCATGCCAGATGAACCGTCGATAAACAAGATATCTAACGACAGCCTAAGATCGATTAGGTATTACATACTAGTATTGTACCACAATATTCTGATAAATTTTGTGTCAAAGTTGCAAATAAAAGAACCCAATTTCCGTGTGGGTTTCGTCCACAAGTATGCATAGTCTACAACGTATAGGTAGTTGCAATACGTCAGTTTTCGAGCTATTATACGCGTCTTGGGCCGTATTTGCTCGAGAAACAATAATACGGCGGAAATTCGGCATAGTTGCGCTCCTTAAAGAACAGCTATTTTCAAAAATTCTCATTTGAAAAGTAGTAAGAAACCCCAAAAATAACTTGTTTGACATGACCGCGAGTTGCACGGTCTTGCACCTCGCTTAACAAGCCCTAAGATAAATGAAGGCAAGTTGGTCTACCAAAGAAACGAATTGAAAAGAGGAAAATACCGAAAAGCATGCGACGCATTTTTTAGGTATTTTCAAAAAGGCCATTTTTCAACGAGGTCAAAATTCGCGTGTTCTAATTGCCTTCATGATATCATCGCGTATCACGTATCGTGCAGACTATAAGCATTTGATTCAATGTGACAAAGCTGCAAAAGTAGGACGTACGAAGCAAATCCGCCTCCGGTGGTTTTTGCAGCTCATCTCAACTTCAACAGCACGAGAGTTTCCTGTAATGACAATGCTGAACGTAGGGGTGGAAGGGCGGCCCGGTCAATCGATCCCGAATACGTAGGTCACAATTGGGAGGGCGTGCAGTGCCCGGTAAAAGCGATCAGGAACACGACCGTTATATTAAACAATATAGTCCTTCTAAACGCTACGTTTCCTCTGCAATTTGGTGGATCAACAAGAGGGCGGCTCGGTCTGAGGATCTTTATTGTACTCCTTAGCGGAACCACCCGGCTAAGTTCCCCGGGGCCATTTTCCGTATTGTGAGAAGGCATATTAAACTCAATTGTCGTGGACCGAAGTCGAAATCTCCGATAAACAATGGGCTATCCATAACGTAAAGCTCCGGTGTGGGCAACTCAAGTGATAGTCGAGCCTCGAGGAGATTTGTTTGTTGGGTTTGCCGTTCCCCAGTACACGAAAAGCCAGATTATGTTGTAGCCGAGGAAATCGCCTGTCTCAAACGTCCGCGTATGTTGTGTAAATTCCACTTTACGCTTCTAGCAAATCCATCTAGCAGCTACTATTTAGCCTTCAAGATTGAATGTCGACATGCCGTTATGGCCAAATCTGACGGTCTTTATGCGACCGGAAGTCGTACAATGAAGGTTTTGCTAGGCAGACCCCACATTCGTCCGAATGATATGCCACAGCTCGCCCCATATAAAGTCAGTTCTCGTATATGCATTTTGCATTGGCGCAATAAATCCGGACAATTGTCGCGCATGGGCCTTTCGAAGGAACTTTCATATACGATATGACGAACCGGTCTCGTCCGAATCTCCATATCTCCATGCATGCAAACGCTTCAACCAGACTCCACGGATTGGATGCAAGATAATCTCTCCATATGGTGCGAAGGGATGCAAATGCCGCCCAAAACTTTCATGCAGCGGTCTTTCAAGGTTCAAGCTACCAGCTTAAGCTTCGCATACATGTAATCCATACGGAGGGAGATGTTTTTTGAGATGATGCCCATGGAAGCGTATGATCGCGAATTTGTTGTAGACCCGGTCTCCATCTTTTGCTAGATGATGAGGAGGAGCCTAGCATTGCAAATTTGTCACTTTCATCGGCAAGTTGCCAGTGTCTACTTGAATAATCAGCCCGTATGTAGTGTTTTAGCTTATCTTACAGAACCGGAGGGGGTCAACATGGCGGAATTTTGATTCAACTACATACAAGTCATCAAAAATAATAGCAATCCTTTGAAGACCGCCGAAAGCAACACGTTAAATTGTAGGAATATACACCCAAAGCCCATCGATCGAAGCTTTCAATGTCGGACTTTGATGTTGGAACAAAGCAGCCGCTTGTGCAGAGCAACCCACCACCTCTTTTTTCCGTCGGACCTTCCTTTCGGAGCCTCCTCTTCCCCATTCTTATCGATGTTGTTTCCTGACGGAAACTCTCGCTCCACCGAGCTCGTGTCTTCCTGTCTACTTCTTCCTTGCATCCTTTCTTGCCAACTCTTTTCGTCCATTTCCGTAGCCTCTGCCTGCCGCTCCTTCTCCGGGGCCCCCTTCCCAACCGCGCCCCCCAATCCCTTCTTCGCTTGCCACTCCACATATCGCTCCAAGATGCCCTCTGTTAGAAGTATTTGCGCACTG